TGATATGCTTTTCAATAAAAAAAAACAAAAAGGAGGAATAAAATCTTGATTAAAAATTTTATTTACAGGTAGCCCCAATGTTTTGGTATTCAAAGTACGACGCATTCAGGGGTGATTGTTCGGGTATAAACACATTTTTCAAGTGCGTGTTTCCTTATTAAAGCAGGGAGTCTTTAATTATAACAGTGTTACAAACTGCCCAAAATTTACTATTTTTCAATTACATGGTAGGAAAAAAACTTCTTCGAACTTCGCTTGCGACTAAATTTCTCAACCCTCCATAGAACCAAAACAAATATCTGAAAAGTAGAGGTTATCCTCACCTCGTTATCCTTACAACTAAGGTCAGTTGGTTGGTCCTCCTTAACGAAGTCGAGATCAGTTGTTTGATTCATCCAAGGGAACAGTGCACTCATCGCATCCGATGCCATGTCGTCGCGAAATCCTTTGCCTTGTTGCTGTAATCAACAGTGGAATATACAATAGGTATCGATCATCTTTGAACTTCAATCTACTGTTATATACAAAAGTGCATAGTTTTTGCTTCCTTTATTAGTACGGCCTATTTTCGAAATGAAAAGTAATCTGTACTACTTTTATTATCCTCGTCCTCTCTGGGCTGTATACTTTTCCCTAAATCATAGAATTTCAACATGGAAGTGAGAGAGACGCAGAAGGATTAGGGACGTAGATGCTGCGAAGAAATTTCGCAAGTTCATACTATTAGAGGCATCTACTTAGGGAAACAGGTTTCTCTCTCACTAAAAAATAAGTTCTGCAGTGTCTCTGCACTACAGTAAGACAGGGCAAAACAGAAGATAGTCACATACGATTATACTCACTTGATAGCTGTTCCTTGGCTCACCGGCGTCAACTCGCTGCCGCTGGCGTTTCAATTTGAAGCCTTGACGCTGTACGGTGAACGGGGTTTGATGAGGATGGTGCGAATGCGGATGATGCTGTTGCTGGAAGAGGTACGAGAAGTGACCGAATGGTGATTGGCTCAGTTGGGGTGGAGTTGGCCCCGAGGACATACGTACACTGAAATCAGACTATGCCCTCTCATGGTATGAAGGAACGGGTCACGAACGGATTCAACGGGACTTCGAATAAGTCCAGATGTTATAATTTGAAGGATATGGAAGATAAGGTCTGGATAAATACTTCGGGTATTTTTAGGAACCTAAAATTCCTCTTTGTATCAAAATCTCAATACTGTGTAGTCTTCTCACTTTTCATAGTTGTTCATTGAATCACTTGATTTGACATAAGGTAACAGAGTTATAATCCAAGCATTCTTTGGTGGGTTTGCCGATTGCCTGTTCTTTCTGTGACCAAAATGGAACTGATGGAGTCAAAAAGGCACACTGGACCCCACATCCTGGAAGGCATAGACCACTTTCCAGGCAAAAACTCATATCTTTGATGTAGTCTCAACAAAGGGACGTCAAACCAATTCTTTGTTTGTTAAGTCTGGGCTACACCGTTCATTCAATTTCGTGAAT